TGGATAATATTTTTAATGCAAAGGGATAACATGGATAATATTTTTGAAACATTTGAATAATTTGGATAAAATTGTTAATGCATTTGGATAACGTGGATAACATTTTTGAAAACATTTGGATAAGGTGGATAAAATTTTTGATGCATTTGCACAACGCGGATATTATTTTTAAAAAGTTTGGATAACGTGGATACCAATTTTTAAACGCTTGAATAACCTGGATAACCTATTCGAAACATTTGGTAACGTTGATAACATTTTTGAACTATTTGGATAAATTGGATAAAATATTTTATGCATTTGGATTACGTGGATAAAATTTTTGAGGCATTTGGATAACTTGAAAAATAAATTCGACGCATTTGGATAACGTGGATAAAATTTTTGAAACACTTGGATAAGGTGGATAACATGACTATTTGACGTTATTTGATCCGGTTGCTGTTCTTTTTTTGAGGTAACGTGGATAACAGTTTTACGTTATTTGGATTCCATCATCCCCCAACTCAAAGATATCCAAACATTGCCAAAAACTATTATTCCCATATAGGTAGTTCCACATGGTCCCAGCAATATTTTTCTCATCATACGCATCTACATACATATGTTCTTCGTATATTGTATTTTTGTTGTTGTTATTATTGTTCTACTACTACGAATTGTTTTTTTTTTCTTTTTTGTGTTTTTGTTTGTCCACACAAAAACCTACTCCGATTTCGATGCAACTGTAAATTGATTTGCCTTGCTTTCGGTTTGAATAAGATCAGGTTGCCTGCCTGCCAGTCAGTCAGGCAGGCAGTCAGTCATCATGTTATTGTCGTCCAGCGAGCGGCCAATGCTGCTAATGGACAATTTTCTATGAACAAATAAAAAATGTTTTCAAACATATAGCCTACATATGCAAACACACTCACATACAACATGAATTTTGCGGCGGGCATATTGGATTGCCATTAGCCAAAAAATGAAAAAAAAAACTAGGCTCCTCTTCTTCTCCAATGGACTTCTGAGAACTTCAATGTTTGCAAAACTCTGAAACAAAACTGACTTTTTTTGTGTTTCTGTTTTCATTCCATTGCCTGCCTGCCTGAATTTTGGTTGTTGGTGTTGCTGTTGTTGTTGTTGCCGTTTGCGGTGGCGTGTGGTTTGTGAAATCAAAATCATACAAGGTTTTGCATTTCTATAAAATAAAAAAAGAACGAGAAAAAAATACAACACATCAACGGTCCCTCAGCAAACCACCTCTCTCGTTCCGTGCTTTGATGTCAACTCCAACTTATTCACTCGGCAATTTATTCTCCGTTTACTATTGGGGTACTACAATGTCGTCGTACCCACCACTATGGCTACACACTAACATACATACCAACCGACCGATAGTCGTGCCTACCCAACTCCATACATGGTCAATGTAAAGGTCAAAAACCTTTGAGGAATACTCTACTCCGTACAGAAAAAAAAAAAACAGCAAAAAAATAGCAACAGCAACAACAAATGGTGTTGAACATCACCCGTAGAAGAGTTATAAAGAAATGTGAATAGCAACAACAACAAACACCTACCCAATGAAGTGCAATGTGTCACTTGAGAAAAATGTTATTTTCGCCTATTTTTTATTTTTCATTATTTTACTATTGTTGTTTTTATTGCCATTGTTTAGAGCACCGCTATTGAGAGAAGGCTCTCCCCCCTCCCTCTCCTCCTTCCTTTTCGTTATTCAATAGAATCCTATGATTCTATCAATGCATTGTTGATTGCCTGGATGTGGAGTGTATTTCAATGAGAAAGAGAGTTAATTTTTATTGCTTCCTCTCCCTCCGCTCCTCTCATTACACACAACATGAATAGATCTTTTGTTTTGCATGCCATGCAAGAAAAATGCAAATGAAAATCATACATACATTTTGATGGTTATTGTTACCCCACTTCACAACTCACTTTCTCAGTTACTCCTCCCTCTCTCCATCTCTCTCTCTCATTGCGGTAGTTTGTTTTGGTGTTTTTTTTTTTCTTATTATTATTTCTAGCATCATGGGTGTATTGTGTGTGGGTGTTTTTCGTCTTCTTCAGTTACACACATAAATGCTGCCATGCCATGTAATGAGGAGGAGTGTGTGAGAAGAGAAGCCTCCTCATCAAATTGGCAAATGAGTGATGAGAAGAGTTAATGCAAAACTCTTTGCAACACAAGGAGTACCAACAAGAAAAACATAATAAAAAGCATAATAATGGAGTTATTATGATACATTTGATGCCATGGTGGTGGTTTCCACTGCCAATTACATTAACTCCAATAAGAATTTCTGTATTCAAATCATTGGGAAAAGTGATGAGTCATTGGATATGGATCGCCACGATATAGCCGGCCGTCATTACAGCAAAAATCAATTCTATTCACATATAACAAAATACCAGGCTTAGTCATCGTAAATTTTATGCGCAGAAAAAAAATTATGTGGTGTATGTAAATGGGTGTGTGTGTGTGTGAATGCTTGTTACGCAGATGAGCATAATTAGCCTTCAACTCCTCAGTGAAAAATACTCCAACTGGCCCTCTAGAAATGACTCACAAAATCAGTATCCATAATAACGAAATGTATGGAAAAGGGTTGGAGAGAAATGAAACAAGAGTTTGAATAGAAAAATTAAAAAAAATAGAAGGTAAGGAAGGGTGATATAGTAAAAAACATAATATTATCCGCGTTATTGAGTTTGAATAGAAAAATTCAAAAAAAAAAAACTTTTTTGAAAGGTATCTACGAGGGTGATGTAATAAAAAGAGAATATTATCCAAGTTATCCAAGTTATCTAACTGAAGAAGCCGAAAAACACCCACACACAATACACCCATGATGCTAGAAATAAAAATCAGAAAAAAAACACCAAAACAAACTACCGCAACGAGAGATTGAGGGAGAGAGAGAGGGGGGAGTAACTGAGAAAGTGAGTTGTGAAGTGGGGTAACAATAAAACATTATCCGCCTTATTGAAATATCGTAAATTATTATTCGCCTTACTGAAATATGGCAAAAATATTATGCGCCAAATGGCTTAAAAATATTATCCACATGCCTTAAAAATATTATCCACATTATCCAAATGCCTTAATAATATTATCCACGTTATCCAAATGCCTTAAAAATGTTATCCACTTTATCCAAATGCTTCAAAAATATTATCCACTTTATCCAAATGCCTTTAACTATTATCTACATTATCCAAGTGCCTTAAAAATGTTATCCACTTTATCCAAATGCTTCAAAAATATTTCTCACTTTATTTCTCACGTTAACCAAATGCCTTAAAAAATATTATCCACGTTGTCCAAATGGCGCAAAAATATTATCCACGTTATCCAAGTGCCTTAAAAATATTGTCCACTTTATCCAAATGCCTAAAAAAATTGTCCACGTTATCCAAATGCTTCAAAAATATTATCCACTTTATCCAAATGCATTTAAAAATTATCTTTGTTATCCAAATGGATAAAAAATATTATCCGCGGTATCCAAAAGTCGTACAAATATTGTCTACTTTATTAAATCATCGTAAAAAATATTATCCACGTTATCCGAATGACTTAAAAATATTGTTCGCGTTATCCAAATGGCTTAAAAATATTATCCACATTATCCAAATGCCTTCATATTATTATCCACATTATCCAAATGCCTTAAAAATATTATACACGTTATCCAAATGCCTTAAAATATTATCCGCGCTATTCAAATGCCTTAAAATATTATACGCGTTATCCAAATGGCTTAAAAATGTTATCCACGTTATCCAAATGCTTCAAAAATATTATACACGTTATCCAAATGCCTTAAAAATATTATCCACGTTATCCAAGTGCCTAAAAAATATTATCCACGTTTTCCAAATGCTTCAAAAATATTAACCACGTTATCCAAATGCCTTAAAAATATTATCCACGTTATCCAAATGCTTCAAAAATATTATCCACGTTATCCAAGTGTTTTAAAAATATTATCCCCGTTATCCAAATGTCTCAAAAATATTATCCACGTTATCCAAATGTGTTAAAAATATTATCCAAGTTATCCAAATGTGTTAAAAATATTATCCACGATATCCAAATGACTTAGAATATTATCCCCATTATCCAAATGCCTTAAAAATGTTATCCGCTTTATCCAAATGTATTAAAAATATTATCCGCGTTATCCAAATACCTTAAAAATATTATCCGCGTTATCCAAATGCTTTAAAAATGTTATCCGCGTTATCCAAATGCCTTAAAATTTTATCCAAGTTTTCCAAATGCATTTTGAATATTATTCACGTTATCCAAATACCTTAAAAATATTATCCGCCTCATTAAATTATCGTAAAAATATTATCCAAGTTGTCCAAAAAAAGTTGTCTTAAAAAAATTATCCGCGTTTTACAAATGCCTTAAAAATTATCCACGTTATCCAAATGCATCAAAAATTTTATCCACCTTATCTAATGGTTTCAAAAAGTTATCCACGTTATCCAAATGTTTCAAAATGTTATCCACGTTTTCCATCTTCATAGAAATTTTATCCACATCATTTAAAAATTTCAAAAATATTATCCGCGTGATATAAATGGTTCAAAATTATTATCCACGTTATCCGAACCGATCAAATCATTATCCACATTTGTTAAAAAAAATTATCCACGTTATCCAAATATTTTAAAAATGCGTCCAAATCGGTTATCCACAATATCCAAATGTTTTAAAAAAATTGTTCACGTTATCCCACTGTATGAAGATAATTATCCACGTTACGCAAATATCGTAAAAATATCCACGTTATCCATATTTAGATATATAAGGTTTCCCGTTATTTTTTATTATCCACTTCACCCAAATAACTCACATTTTTTAATAACTTTTTTCCCTTTCAAAAAATACAATTTATTTTTTTTTATTCTTTTCCTAATTTTAAGTTTTTTTAAATTTCAAAACAATGGCTCACAATTTTTCTCTTTTTCTCTCTTTTTTCCAGGAGGAATCTTCTCTTAGCCATTACAACAAAATGTTGAGATCCGACACGAACGTCTAACTGACGTGTTGTCCCTTTTTAGCTGCCCTCCCCAAATTAGCCGTTGGTTTGTTGTAACAACAACAACATGATTATTGCAGCATTGAAAATGTGGCCGCTGCAATATCATTGTCAAGTGTCGCAACAACAACAACAAATGCTGCTTCAAATGCCCGACTTCTCATAACATTCTAAAAAAAAACGACTGGATTCCTAATCTGAAGTCATCGCCGTACCACATGGAAGACGATTTCCTCAGAAGACGACGATATCAGTATTATTTTAATTAATCTCTCTCTTGCGCGCGCTCTCTCACTCTCTCCATCTCTCAGGGAGCAGCAGTATCTTCTTCTCTTGCTAATCAAGCCACAGAAGGAATATTTTCCCCCCACAGACTATATTCAACAGCCAGCAAGAGGAAGACAGAACACGGCCAATATCACAACCATTGGCGGGAGGGGAAAGCGGCGGTGTGGAAAGCAGACACCAGCCTTGCTGTTGCTGAAAGAGCCGCCAAAACGCCCACAAAATGGTAACACCATCAACGGCGGTGGCAACAACAGCAGCAGTATCATCAGCATCCAATGACAACAACAGCAACAATACGTCAATACAACAACATCATCAGCAACTCCAACAGCAGCAGCAACAGCATCAGCAGGATGTGCCACAAACGTCTTATGCAGCAACTCAGGCAACCACTACCGCCACAACCTGCAGTGGCATGGCCGCCACCGCCGGCGCCATACCTCGACAACATCCAAAGAAACGTAAATTCGATCCCTCAGAACTGGATGAGGCCAACGATAATCACCAACAGTCACAGCAGCAGGTCAAGCAGGACAACGTCCACACATCAGCAGAGATTAAGGCCTCCCCCGCATCGAGCTCCTCCAACACCTGCAACACCTCATCCTCCTCCTACAACACAACAAATGTGGTTGATGCCACAACATCAACAGCCATTAGCAACAACAACAGCTCATCCACAACCTGCACCACCACAAGTAATGGCATCAACAATGCCAGCCGAGGAGATGGTGCAACCTATTGTGGTGCCACAGCCACCACCACCACCACAAATGGCACCGTAGACAGTGAAGTGGCAGGAGGGGGAACAGGCGGCTGCGGCGGAGGAGGTATTTACACATTGCGCACAACAACATTTGGATCTCCTTCGGGAGGTGGTACAGCAACATCTGTGGCCCACAGCAGCAGTGATACCAGTAGCGGGTCTCTGGTATCCATTGCGTCCAAGGCCAGTACATGCACGGAGATACCCGAGAAACGTACAATTATAACGAGGTAAGGAGGGGTACTCTAATTTTCTTACTTGAGATGGATAAACGATTTACGGTACTCCGTTGGTGTGGATAAAAGCTTTAAGATATCCCGAAGATTTGGATAGATTTTATACATTATTTGGATAGCGTAAATAATCGATTTACGATATCGTGGTAGCTCGGAATTTTTGCGATATGTAGATAGAGAAGACAATGTATTTACGATATTTGGATAATACGGATAAATTTTTACGATATTGGCGTAATTTTAATAGTATTTTTATTGTATATAGATATGTGGATAATAATTTTACGATATTAATATAACGTAGGCAATATTTTTACGATATTTAGATAAAGTGGATAATATTTTAACGATATTTGGATAAGTGGATAATTTTTTACATTATTTGGATGAAGTTGATAATATTTTTACGATATTTGAATAACGAATATAATATTTGGATGACGTGGATAATGTTTTTACGATATTTGGAAATCATGGATACCATTTAGGCGATATTTGGATAACGTAGACACAATTTTTACGATATTTTGATGACGTAGATATAATTTTTACGATATTTGAATAACGTGGATAATAATTTCTACGACATTTGAATAACGTGGATACTATTTTTATGGTATTTGGAAAACGTGGATACTATTTTTACGATATTTGAATAACGTGGATACTATTTTTACGGTATTTGGATAACGTGGACATTATTTTTACGATATTTGGAAATCATGGATACCATTTATGCGATATTTGGATAACGTAGACACAATTTTTACGATATATTGATAACGTAGATATAATTTTTACGATATTTGAATAGTATTTTAGATAGTATTTTTTACGATATTTGAATAACGTGGATACTATTTTTACTGTATTTGGATAACGTGGATAATATTTTTACGATATTTGGATAAAGTGGATAATATTTTTACGATATTTGGATAGAGTAGATAATATTTTTACGATATTTGGATAACGTGGATAATTTTTTACGGCATTTGAACACCGTGAATTGTATTTTACGATATTTGGAAAATATTGATCCCCTTTTTACGATATTTTTTAGATAACGTGGATAATATTTTTACGATATTTGGATAAAGTGGATAATATTTTTACGATATTTGGATAACGTGGATAAAAATTTTACGATATTTTTTAGATAACGTGTATAGTATTTTTACGATATGTAAAATTTTTACGATATTTGGATAGAGTAGATAATATTTTTACGATATTTGGATAACGTGGATAATTTTTTACGGCATTTGAACACCGTGAATTGTATTTTACGATATTTGGAAAATATTGATCCCCTTTTTACGATATTTTTTAGATAACGTGGATAATATTTTTACGATATTTGGATAAAGTGGATAATATTTTTACGATATTTGGATAACGTGGATAAAAATTTTACGATATTTTTTAGATAACGTGTATAGTATTTTTACGATATGTAAAATTTTTACGATATTTGGATAGAGTAGATAATATTTTTACGATATTTGAATAACGTGTATAATATTTTTACGATATTTGAATAATGTGTATAATATTTCTACGATATTTTAAAAACGCGGACAATATTTTTACGATATTTAAATAACGCAGACAACATTTTTACGATATTTGGATAAAGTGGATAATATTTTTTTACGATATTTTTGGAAAACGTGAACAATGTTTAAGATATTTGGATAAAGTGGATAATAATTTGACGATATTTTTTAGATAACGAGTGTAATATTTTTACGATATTTGGATAAAATTTTTACGATATTTAAATAGAGTGGATAATATTTTTACGATATCAGTATAACGTGTATAATATTTTTACGGCATTTGAGCGCCATGGATATAATTTTTACGATATTTGAATAACGTGTATAATATTTCTACGATATTTGGATAACGCGGAAAGCATTTTTACGGTATTTGTATAATTTGGATAATATTTTTACGATATTTGAATATCGTGGATAATATTTTTACGATATTTGGATAAAGTGGATAATATTTTTACGTTATTTGTATGAAGTTGATAATATTTTTACGATATTTGAATAACGAATATAATATTTGGATAATGTGGATAATATTTTTACGATATTTGGAAATCATGGATACGATGTATGCGATATTTGGATAACGTAGACACAATTTTTACGATATTTTGATTAAGTGGATTATATTTTTACGATATTTGAATAACGAGGATAATAATTTTTACGATATTTAAATAATGTGGATACTATTTTTACGGTATTTGGATAACGTGGATAATATTTTTACGATACTTGGATAACGTGGACAATATTTTTACGATATTAGAATAAAGTGGATAATATTTTTTACGATATTTGAATAACGTGGATACTCTTTTTACGGTATTTGGATAACGTGAATAATATTTTTACGATACTTGGATATATTTTTACGATATTTGGATGACGTGGATAATATTTCTACGATATTTGGGTAACGTGGATAATGTTTAGCATATTTGGATTACGTGGATAATAATTTTGCGATATTTGGGTAACGTGGACAATGTTTAGGATATTTGGATAACGTGAATAATAATTTTACGATATTTTTTAGATAACGTGTATACTATTTTTACGATATGTAACATTTTTACGATATTTGAATAGAGTGGAAAATATTTTTATGATATTTGTAACACGTGCATAATTTTTTTACGGCATTTGAACACCGTGAATTATTTTTTACGATATTTGGAAAATATTGATCCTCTTTTTACGATATTTTAACGTGAATAATATTTTTACGATACTTGGATATATTTTTACGATATTTGGATGACGTGGATAATAATTCTACGATATTTGGGTAACGTGGATAATGTTTAGCATATTTGGATTACGTGGATAATAATTTTGCGATATTTGGGTAACGTGAACAATGTTTACGATATTTGTATAACGTGGATAATAATTTGACGATATTTTTTAGATAACGAGTGTAATATTTTTACGATATTTGGATAAAATTTTTACGATATTTAAATAGAGTGGATAATATTTTTACGATATCAGTATAACGTGTATAATATTTTCTACGATATTTGGATAACGCGGAAAGCAGTTTTACGATATTTGGATAATATTTTTACGATATTTTAATTTTTACGATATTAAGTTAAAGTGGATAACATTTTTACGATAGTGAGATAAAGTGGGTAATATTTTTACGCTATTTGAATAATATTTTTATGATATTTGAATAGCGTGGATAATATTTTTACGGCATTTGAGCAATATTTTTACGATATTCGACTGATATGGATAATATTTTACGATATTTTTATAATGTGGATAATGTTTTTACGGGATTTGAATATTTTTACGATATTTGGAAAACGAAGATTATCTTTTACGATATTTGAATAACGTGGATAAAAAGTTTACGATATTTTTGGTAACGTGTATAATATTTTTACGATATTTAAGTTTTTTACGATATTTGAAGGGAATGGATAATATTTTTACAATATTTGAAAAAGGTGGATTATCTTTCTACGATATTTGAACAACGTGGATAAAAAGTTTATGATATTTTTGGATAACGTGTATAATATTTTTACGATATTTAAATTTTTTACGATTTTTGAATAGAATGGATAATATATTTACGATATTTGGAAAATGTGGATTGTCTTTTTACGATATTTGAATAACGTGGATAAAAAGTTTACGATATTTTTGGATAACGTGTATAATATTTTTACGAGATTTAAATTTTTTACGATAGTTGAATAGAATGGATAATATTTTTACGATATTTGGAAAATGTGGTTTATCTTTTTACGATATTTGAATAACATGGATAAAAAGTTTACGATATGTTTGGATAACGTGTATAGTATTTTTACGATATTTGAATAGAATGGATAATATTTTTACAATATTTGGAAAATGTGGATTGTCTTTTTACGATATTTGAATAACGTAGATAAAAAGTTTACGATATTTAAATTTTTTACGATATTTTTGGATAACGTGTATAATATTTTTACGATATTTGAATAGAGTGGATAATATTTTTACGATGTTTAGGTATGGTGGATAATAGTTTTACGAGATTTGGATAACGAAGATGATATTACGACCCCGTTTGGATGACGTAAATGATATTTTTACGTTATTTGAGTGGATGATTTTACTATTTTACGTTATTTGGATAGCTTCTACTATTTTTCGATATTTGGTAGTAAAACTAATAGTTTTACTACATTTAGATAAATTATATATTAGAGGCGAAGATTTACGATCGTATAATAGAGTTACAAAATTGAATATTTTTTTACGATATGTGGATTTTTGATATCGTAGATACTCTATTTAATTATTTGAATAACCAATTTCCTTTATTTGTGAAGAATATTTGAATAATTTCCTCTCTTCTCCCTTCTCTCTCTTTCAGTTCTCATGCAGCTGGCGGCGTTCCTGGTGTTCCTGGTGCCGCATCAACGTCAACAACTACAACAACATCTATACACAAACAATATGTGGTAAATGACAACAACAATGCAAGCAGTGGCAGCAACCACAATGCCAATACCCCCACAACAGCAACAGCCAGCATCAATGGTAGTAATAGCAACAACAACAACAACAATTTAAATCAACAAAATAATGTTGCTGGACAACGATATCATTTTGTACAACAACAACAACAACACCAACAACCGCAACACAAAACACAGATACATGTTGTTGCTTTGAATAGCAACAGCCAACAACAACAGCAATTACAAATGCAACAACATCATTTACAGCAACAGTCGTCCTCTTCGTCTGTGACAGTAGCAACAGCAGCCCCACCACCACCACCACCCCAACAATCATCATCTGCAGCAACTGTTGTCAACAACACAACATCCTCCGTCACATCATCGATGTCCGTCTCCGCATCCTCGTCCTCCTCTGCCACCACCACACCCTCCATCTCCTTCTCCTCATCGACCAGCAGCAGCAATGATGGGATTGTACTTAATCTAAGTGATTGGATTGATACCCGAGTACTGGCCAAAGTGAATAACTACTATGCTCCGGGCGTGACGCGCCAGCCATCGACAACGACGACATTGACGTCGTCATCGTCGCCGAATGCCATCATCGATGTGCCACCGAATTCAATTATTGTCGAATTTGATCCACCAGAAAATAGTACACACCTATACACGGATGTACTTAATAGTGGGCGTTTTAATGTGATATTGGACGCAAGTCCACCAGCGGCCGATGTAGGTATCAATTCCATTCTCCACACCCCCCTACCTCCCCCCTTATTCATGTCCACGTTTAATTGACAACTCTGTGCAGAAGATTATTGAATTTGGTTTTCTTTCGCTTCGTTTCGTTTCGTTTTTTTCAGCTCTTGGAGGACACCCGTGTCTGTGTGCGAACATCCATTGAGGGCCGTGAGGGTTGTGTGTTTGTCGAAGGCACCGTTATCGAGGTACATCCGGCAACAAAACAGTTTACAGTACAAATTGGAACCACGGAGACGGGAGCGGCAATTGTAAGTTGGAAAAAAGTATTTGATTACTGTTCGACTCCGAAGGAGTGAAGAGGAAGTGTCTAGGAGCATTGGGCCTCCCCACAAAGGGATCAAACTATTGAATAGCCAAAACGCTCATAAAATACATCCGATTCTTTCCTAACTTCACACATCACAATATTTCTAACAGCACAAGATCCGTTGTGAACTTGGTAGATATCGGCCCACTCCTTTTGGTACCTCCCGCACAAAGGGGTCGAAATTCTGAAAAACCAAAACGCTCATAAAATATAAAATAAGCATCCGATTCTTTTCAAACTTAACACATTGGAATATTTCTTCTGACACAAGATTTGTTGTGAAGACGTTAGATATCGGCCCACTCCTTCGGGTACCTCCCCCACAAAGAGGTTAAAATTTCGAATAACCAAAACGCTAATAAAATGCTAAATAAACATCCGATTATTTTCAAACTTTACACATTTCAATATTTCTACTAAGAGGAAGTCTTATGGGAAGATGGGTAAAATCTGCCCACCCCTTCTTGTACCTCCCCCACAAAGGGGTCAAAATTTTGAAAAACCAAAACGCTCATAAAAATTCAAAATAAACATCCGATTCTCTTCAAACTTCACACAGCCCAATGTTTCTACCAACACAATATCTTGTGTGAAGATAGTAAAAATCTGACCACTCCTTCTTGTACCTCCCCCACAAAGGGGTCAAAATTTTGAAAAACCAAAACGCTCATAAAATGCGAAATAATCTTCCGATTCTTTTCAAACTTGACACGTCCCAATAGTTCCATCAAAACAAGATATTGTGTAAAGATGGAATATATTGGTCCACTCCTTCTGGTACCTCCCCCATAAAGGGGTCAAAATTTTGAAAAACCAAAACGCACATAAAATAACGAGTAAGCATCCGATTCTTTTCAAACTTCACAAATCCCAATATCTCAACCAACACAAGATCTTGGGTGAAGATGGCAGATATCGGCCCACTCCTTCTCGTACCTCCCCCACAAAGGGGTAAAAATTTCGAATAACTAAAACGCTCATAATATCCGAAAAATGAATCCGATTATTTCCAAACTTCACACATCTCAACATCTCTACCAACTTTAGATCTGATGTGAAGATGGAAGATATCAGCCGACTCCTTCTGGTACCTCCCCCACAAAGGGGACAAAATTTTGAAAAACCAAAACGCTCATAAAGTGCTAACTAAGCATACGAATCTTTTCAAAATTAACACATTGGAATATTTCTTCTGACACAAGATTTGTTGTGAAGATGATAGATATCGGTCCACTCCTTCGGGTACCTCCCCCACAAAGAGGTCAAAATTTCGAATAACAAAAAACGCTAATAAAATGCTAAATAAACATCCGATTATTTTCAAACTTTACACATTTCAATATTTCTACTAAGAGGAAGTCTTATGGGAAGATGGGTAAAATCTGCCCACCCCTTCTTGTACCTCCCCCACAAAGGGGTCAAAATTTTGAAAAACCAAAACACTCACAAAAATTCAAAATAAACATCCGATTCTCTTCAAACTTCACACAGCCCAATGTTTCTACCAACACAATATCTTGTGTGAAGATAGTAAAAATCTGACCACTCCTTCTTGTACCTCCCCCACAAAGGGATCAAAATTTTGAAAAACCAAAACGCTCATAAAATGCGAAATAATCTTCCGATTCTTTTCAAACTTCACAAATCCCAATATCTCAACCAACACAAGATCTTGGGTGAAGATGGTAGATATCGGCCCACTCCTTCTGGTACCTCCCCCACAAAGGGCTCAAAATTTTGAAAAACCAAAACGCTCATAAATTGCGAAATTAGCATCCGATTCTTTTCAAACTTCACACATCTCAATAATTCTACTGACACAAAATCTTGTGTGAAGATGGGTAAAATCTGCCCACACCTTCTTGTACCTCCCCCACAAAGGGGTAAAATTTTTGAATAACCAAAACGCTCATAAAATGCGAAATAAGCTTCCGATTCTTTTCAAGCTTCACACATCTCAACATCTCTACCAACTTTAGATCTGATGTGAAGATGAAAGATATCGGGCCACTCCTTCGGGTGCCTCCCCCACAATGGGGTCAAAATTTTGTAAAACCAAAACGCTCATAAAATGCGAAATAAGCTTCCGATTCTTTTCAAACTTTACAAATCCCAATATCTCAACCAACACCAGCTCTTGTGCAAAGATGGAAAATATCAGCCCACTCCTTCGGGTACCTCCCCCACAAAGAGGTCGAAATTCTGAATAACCCAAACGCTCACATACGCATCAAGTAGGCATCCAATTCTTTTCAAATTTCCAACATCCTAATATTTCTACGAACTCTAGATCTGGTATAAAAATGGTAGATTTCGGACCGCTCCTTCTGGTATATCCCCCACAAAAGGGGCTCAATTTTTGCTCATCCAAAACGCTCCTTCTGTCGTCAGAACCCATTGATACTTTTCAAATTGTTTCATTAAATTTCTCTCAATTTCCCCTCTCCCCGCATTTCAGTTGAACACTGTAAAACGTGCCGATCTACGTTTGCTGCTGCCACCCTGGTGGGATGAACTAAACGAAGTGTCACCCCTACTGCAAACTGTCCCTGCAAACAACAACAATGCGTTTACGACCAAAAAAGTGGCCGCTGCAGCGTCACCACAATCCAGACGTACCTTGGGCGCCACAACGGTACAATATGCGATGAATCATCATCAGGGCAGTAAAACGCCAACGACGGGTCTTCATCATGGTCCACATCCATATCATTCACATGGCCCGCAGCAGCAGCTGCATCATCAGGATCCCCAGCAACAGTCACAACACACAACACATCATCAACATCATCAGTTGACCTTTATCAATAATAAAATGGTAACTCCCAGTGGGGCGGCGGCAGCGGTTCTGCAACGGACATCGGGTCATCAGACGGTGACAACGCAACCGAAACCGGATGATTATTACAGGACCATAGCCACATCGCCGTTTCAAACGACTGGTGGGAATATTGTGAACGGGAGTGGTAATGGCAATGTGGTGGTGGTCACTAACGCAGGAGGACAGCATCAAAATGCCTATTTACTGCAAAACAATGCAAATGGTTGTGTTGAGACCGAACCACAACAACAACAACACCACCATCATCTTCACCCACAACATCAACACCAAACCACGGCAATGGAACAACATCAACATCCCCATCAACATTCGCAGCAGCAGCATCATGGAATCGATTCTAAACTACAAACATCTGATGAAATGGCAATGCAACAGCAGAGGCGACAACAACGTCATCACCAACAGCTGCAACAACAGCATCGTTCCACCACCACCACCACCAGCACTACTGCTGCCAACACCGCCACCTATGACGACTCCTACGATTCCGATGAAGAACTGAAACGTGTCGATATCGGCGGCTATGCATCGCTCGCCGATGCCGATCCGGAAAAGCTGTCCGGCGGCAGCAAACGCAGCAGCATGCAAAGTCGCGGCAGCTCATCATCAGCACTTGAACAGAGGCTAACACCACGATCTCATCCAGCTACACCACGATCTCAAGCGAATACGCCGCATCGCTTCAAAAAGGGCGACATTGTCGAGTCCGAGTCGGGCGTACGCAAAAAATTCAATGGCAAACAATGGCGTCGATTATGTTCGCTGTGTTCGAAGGAATCTCAGCGCCGTGGCTTTTGCTCGCGCCATCTCAATCAGAAGGGCAATTCGTTGCGTTCATCCGGACCGAGTCGTTTTCCAAGGTGAGTACTACGGGTGGGAAGCTTAGGGAAATTTGAAGGGAGCTATTAAATTCTTGTTTTATTTTTCATTCCAGTGATATTAGCAGCCGTTCGAGCAGTAAAACCCAAATCGATGAGGATACATCTCGTGATTCGGAAACGTCTCCAAATTATCGTACAACCGGACGTTTCGATCAGGAGGAAACGGATGTGGCCAATATGTTGGGTAAGTTGAAATCGATTATTGTCCATAAAAAAAGAGGACACTCGTTGGGAGCAGCTGTTGGTCTCTTGGAGACATTGGTCAGTGTGGAGACATTTTTTTTTTCATTTTAAGAGGGGAACACTTCTTGGAATTTGAAACGAAAATGCTACCCCTCTCGGGGCAGCATGTCTTTGCTAGGAAAGGGAGAACCTTTCTCCTCCTCAGCTTCAAACACCAAAAGTATTAGAGCTCAGGAAAGAACTACTACGACTTGGGTCCTCAAGAAGGACGAATTCTGTATATTTCGCTTTTTGAAAAGAAATGCCACTCCTCTTAAATGTCTTTGTCAGGAAAGGGAGAACCTTTCTCCTCTTAAACGCCAAACACAAAGAGTATTAGAGCTCAAGAAAAACGGACTACGGAATATTTTTTTAGCCTATGGAATAGGTTTTAGGTCCTCAAGAAGGACAAATTCTGTATATTTCGCTTTTGACAAGAAATGCCACACCTCTTGAGGCAATCGAAAGTTATTTTACACTGGAAGGTTGCACTATGAGGGCTTCTGCCTCTACGTTTTTTCTTTTATCAATGCCAATAAGACCTTTAGGTCTTTGAAAACAATCTTCGGTATTTCGAACCAAATATACGTTCCTTAACTCCTTCTAGTTTTTTGTTTTTCAAAATCTTGAAGCCTATGTGGGACAGGTACCAGAAGGAATGGTCTGATCTCTTTCAGATTTACAAAAGATCTTGTGTTGATGGAAATATTGAGATATACCAAGTTTGAATGGAATCGGATGTTAATTCCGCGTTTTATGGATATTCAAAATGTTGACCCTTTGTGGGGAGGTACCAGAAGGAGTGGACCGATATATCCCATCTTCACACCAGACCTTAGGTTTATGGGAATATTGTGATGTGTAAAATATGAAGTCAACCGGATGCTTACTTCGGGTTTTTATAATCGTTTTAGTTATTCAAAACTTTGATCCTTTGTGGGGGAGGTACCAGAAGGAGTGGTCCGATCTCTACCTGATTTATAACAGATCTTGTGTTGATAGAAATAATGAGATGTGCCAAGTCTGAATGGAATCGGTTGTTAATTGAGCGTTTTATGAGCTTCATGAATACTCAAAATTTTGACCCTTTGTGGGGGAGGTACCGGAAGGAGTGGACGAATACGTTTCATCTTCACAACAGATCTTGTGTTAGCAGAAATAATGGACTGTGTCAAATTTGAAGAGAGCCGGATGCTTATTTCGGATTTTATACTCATTTGGTTATTCAAAACTTTGACCCTTTGTGAGAGAGGTACCAAAAGGAATAGTCCGATCTCCACCATCTTTATAGCATATCTTGTGTTGATGGAAATTTTGAGATGTACCAAGTCTGAATGGAATCGAATGTTAATTTCTTGTTTTATGAGCTTCATGAATATTCAAAATTTTGACCCCTTTGTGGAGGAGGTACCAGAAGGAGTGGACCGATATATTCCATCTTCACAACAGGTCTTGTGTTAGTAGAAATAATGGGATGTGTGAAATATGAAGTCAACCGGATGCTTATTTCGGATTTTATAATAGTTTCGGTTATTCAAAACTTTTGCCCTTTGTGAGGGAGGTACCAGAAGGAATGGCCCGATCTCCACCATCTTGATATTATATCTTGTGTTGATGGCAATATTGAGATGTACCAAGTCTGAATTCAATCGGATATTAATTGAGCGTTTTATGAGCTTCATGGATATTTAAAATTTCGACCTTTTTGTGGGAGAGGCACCAGAAGGAGTGGGCCGATATATTCGATCTTAACACCAGCTCTTGCGTATATAAAAATATTGGGATGCGTGAAATTTGAAGACAATCGGATTATTACATCACATTTTATAAGAGATATAATTATTCAAAATGTTAACCCTTTGTGGGGGAGGTACTTGATGTAGTGGACCGATGTTGGCCATTTTCGCACCTGACCTAGCGCTGATGCAAATATTAGGATTTGCAAAGTTGGAACACAATCGGTTTATCCTTTCTCTTTCTGTGCAAAAAAATAAAAAATAAATAAATTTTTTGAAAATTTCGACATTTGTGGGGGAGTTACCAGAAGGCGTGGACCGATATATTACATCTTAACACCAGACCTTTGGTTAATATAAATATTGGGATATCTGAAATTTTAAGACAATCGGACTCTTATATCACATTTTATGAGAGTTGTAATTATTCAAAATTTTGACACTTTGTGGGGGAGGTACTTGATGGAGTGGACCGATATTGTTCATTTTCGCACCTGACCTAGCGCTGTACAAAAAAATGTTTTTTATTATTTATTTATTTATTTTTTTTTTTTAAGATTTTGTCCTTTTGTGAGGAAGGTACCAGAAGGAGTGTACCGATATAGCCCATCTCCGATATAAATACTGCAGATATTTATCGGAAACAAGATTTTAATGTTTTCTTTTTAGAGACGATGAATATCTTCCGTAAAATTTCTTTCTGTCCCCTTTATAATCCTTCAATGATTAGATTTTTTTTTTTATCATAATAAGATCCTTTGATCATTTGATAAGCCGGAGGAAGAACTGGTTATCAATATATGAAAGAAAGAGGCATTTTGTTTTCTAAAAAACTCCAGGGCCTCTGATATCAAAATGGGTTGAATCACTTGTCCACTTTTTCTTTATACGCCTTTATAGAAAATATTCAGGTCTGCACTCATTGAGTTTTGCATTTTCATATGCGATAATTTAGATATTTAATATAAGGACCCATGCGAAATATATTTTGTCTTCTATAAGACCTCTTTGATCCCTTTATGATAATTTCTACTTGTACTCCAAATACCTTTTTTGGCCAAAGAAATTATTCAAAGGTAGTTGGTATCACTTATCATCAATTCAAAGTAACTATGTTTTTCGTGCAATTGGCAACACTTTTGGCTCCCCTTTAATGTGTGATAATGCCATCTCATTCTCACCTGTAACGCCATCAACGCAACAACAAATAACCTGACAATGACAAAAGAAATAAACCGTTGGTTTTCTTGTATTTGAAAGGAAAGAAAGAAAGACAAATAAGGCACTCACAAAATAAAATATAAACTAGCATGAAAGAGGAGCAAAATCAAAGAAAATGAAGTGAAAAAACATTAAGAAAATAGTGCAGTTTTCCCCCTTAACAAATTGTATAAAATACAAATAAAAATTAAACCCAAAGTCTCAAAATAAATTGGATATAGAATCTTTTTAAGAAATTGTAAATTAATGTAAAATACCAGCAACTGTTTTGGTAGACTTGAGACGAAAGTAGGCAGGAAAATGCATGCTTTTCAGGATTTTGATTTGGGCGCCAAACTCTATCTGCAGTGTTTGTGTAATGGCAATGGAAGAGTGAATCTGGGGCATTTCAAATGATTTCTAATGTTTTTGTTTTTTTTTTCTTTCTTTTAGTATCCCTGGGTAGTTCCCGTTCCGGCACACCCTCATACTCATCGCCCGTCAATCATGGCACCTCACCGATGAATGCCAACAATTCTCCAGTGCCACCGGTGGTGGCAACAAATCGCCAAAATTTCTTTACACCCATTGGCGGGGGACCGGCAACGCCCTCACAAGACGCCCACGCAATCAAGTGGAAGGCCACACCGTCGCCGGTAATGTACAATGGTATGGGTGGGTATGGTTCTCAGGTTATATGTCCCGAATCTGTGAGAGCCCATCAGGCGGCTGGCGTCGGTGGCCAGTCAACGGCACCAGTACCAGCTCCGCCACCACCACCCCAACAGTCGCCTGTGTCAATGGTAATGCATCAGCCTGCAGTGGTTTCAACACCACCCCAACAGCCAGTCATGTCACCACATTTACCGCTGACACCTCAGCAGCATCATCACTTGCAGGCATCAATATCTCCAGGGCCGCCACCACCACCCATGGTAATTACGTCGTTGTCTTCATCATCAGCGGCGGCCCATACATCTTCGGCTGCCACCATTACATCCATGGCCCATGCTACAAGTGTCATACGAATATCACCAGCGGCTGCTGCATCATCGACAACAGCAACAAACATGACCAATGCTGCCCTGATACAGGCGGCACAGGCTCAGGCCTCCAGTCAAGGCCAAGGTGGGAGCGGTGGTCAGTCATTTCATCCCGTTATTGTGGATGCCACCCAATTGATGCCCCTGCTGCCGGCCCATCAACAGCCACAGCAGCCCAGACAGCAATCATCTCCCTCACCACAACAACAACAAAATACCGGACTCAACTCAATTCAGGGTATTCACCATCAACACCATAGCGCTTCTGCTGCCGCAGCGGCCGCCGCTGCTGCTTCGTCGTTGCATCAATTGCGACACAATTCAGCTGGCGGAGCCACGGCAACTTTGTTGACAATGCAGCACCAACAGCAACAGGTAAAGGCACAACACCACACACCTCCCCATCATCATCAGCTACAACAACAGCAACAACCGCAACAACAACAACAGCAATCTATTCCAAAAAACGGCATTAATGCGGGGTCGATTTTTCAATGGCATACGCTGCTGCCTCGCATCCATCAATCCCCCGTTAAAAGTCAACAACAAGCCCCCAACTATTCCTTAGCCGGTATTGTGCCACCCACACCCTCTCCAACCATTTCCAATACCACAGAGGCAGCAGCATCAACACCACCACCACCTCCAACATCTCATCATCAGTCAGCAGCAACATCATCACAACAACAAAATTTGCCAGTGAACGCCAACAACAACAATGGTCACATGATGACCATCAAACAGTCCATGTCATCTCCTGGCTCTGCAAATCCCCTGAATCTGAGTGATGCCAATAAAAACTCAGCCATGGCATCATCCGCTTCGGACTTGACAAACTCTGCTGATGACATTGATGATCAGCTGGATGATGATGTCTTTGAACCATCGCCCAAAACTGATAACACCACCAGCTCCTCCAACATGGCCAGTAATTTGAGTATCAACAAAAATAAACGACAGGAACGTTTCAACAACGATTCTCAACACCAGAGCATAAGAGGAGGTTATAGGCCCAATATTTATAGTACCTCGGCGGCTGGAGAAACATCAACATCAGGTGCTGCTGGAGGACGCAGGGGAGGTAATGACCTCAACGATGGCCATGAGACTTCAGGCAACAACACAAATCATGGAGGTGGGGCATCCAAGAGACGTTCTCAGTCCCTAAGTGCTTTGCAGCAACAACAAAATGCAGCAGCTGCAGCAGCGGGAGGACCAGGAAGTGGTGGTCCCACAGATGCCAATAGTGGCTGTAAAGAGCCCATGAGTCCCATGACAAAGGTAAATATTTTCTTTTCAAACAAATTTAAGCTTGAAAATAACCAACACTCCCCCTCCCTCTTCTCTCCCAATTTTCAGAGCAAAATACGACGTCCCATGAATGCCTTTATGATCTTTTCCAAAAAACATCGCAAATTGGTACACAAAAAACACCCAAACCAAGATAATCGTACAGTTAGTAAAATCTTGGGTGAATGGTGGTATGCCCTGAAGCCAGAGGAGAAGGCCCCGTACAATGAGTTGGCCTCTTCCTACAAGGATGCCCACTTCAAATTACATCCCGATTGGAAATGGTGTAACAAAAATCGCCGTAAATCATCCAGCTCCAGTAAGGGTAGTGCAGCAGGTGGTAATTCCAACGCCAATGCTGTTCCAGGTTCATCAGCGGGTGGCAATGATATGAATTATCGTTTAGATTCCATCGATGGTTCAGACTCAATTGATCAGGAACATAGTCCCACCACGCCGGGTTATGCCACCGCATTCAATAGCTCCGGTAATGGTAGTCTTTCGGCAAATTGTAGTGGTGGCCCTAACGGTGGTCTGGGACAAAATTCCGCTAATGATATGCAAACCGATATTATACCATTGACCATTGCAACATACAACACTTCGTGCACCGAATCATCGGATCCAACAACAATCAATAGTCATCATTTGTCTGGATTGCAAAAATGTATCAAAGAAGAGCCGATGAAATTGGATATTACCTCAGAGGAAGAACAAGTGAGTTTGGAGGAGAAGATAGGGGGCACAAAGGGAAAGTGATTTAAACGGAAAAGAGTTATGTTATCGAATGGAAAATGTTGTTATCGAACAACTTTTCTATCAAAATCTTTGTTATCGTACCACTTTTCTTTAAAAAGTGCTCTTATCGAACAACTTTTCTAGAGCAAATGTTGTTATCGAACAACTTTTCTGTAGAAAATGTTATCGAACAATTTTTCTATAGGAAAAGTTGTTATCGTACAACTTTTCTATAGGAAAAGTTGTTATCGAACAACATCTCTATTGGAAAAATTGTTATCGAACAACATTTCTATTGGAAAAGTTGTTATCGAACAACATTTATATAGGAAAAGTTGTTATCGATCAACTTTTCTATAGGAAAACTTGTTATCGGACAACCTTTCTATAGGAAAACTTGTTATCGGACAACTTTTCTATAGAAAATATTGTTATCGAACAACTTTTCTATAGAAAATATTGTTATCGAACAACTTTGTTGTTATTGAACAACTTTTTATGGAAAGTTTTGTTATCGAGTAATTTTTCTATGGAAAATGTTGATATCGAATAAATTTTTATAGAAAAAGTTTTTATCGAACAAATTTTCTGTGGAAAAAGTTGTTATCGAACAATTTTTCTATAGAAAAAATTATTACCGAACAGTTTTTCTGTGAAAAATTTTGTTATCAAACAATTTGTCTGTGGAAAAAATTGTTGTCGTATAATTTTTCTGTGGAAAAAAATTGTTATCGAACAATTTTTCTGTAGAAAAAATTGTTATCGGTCGATTGTTGTTATCGAACAACTTTTCCATAGAGAAAGTTGTTATCGAACAACTTTTCCATAGAGAAAGTTGTTATCGAACAACTTTTCCATAGAAAAAGTTGTTATCAAACAACTTTTCCATAGAAAAAGTTGTTATCAAACAACTTTTCCATAGAAAAAGTTGTTATCGAACAACTTTTCCATAGAAAAAGTTGTTATCGAACAACTTTTCCTTAGAAAAAGTTGTTATCGAACAACTTATCTATTAAAAAAGATGTTATCGAACAACTTATCTATTGAAAAAGTTGATATCGAACAACTTTTCTCTGGAAAAATTTGTTATCGAACAACTTTTCAAAAAACTTCTTTGTGGACATTGTTATTGAACCTCATTTCTATAAAAAATATATAGTTTTTACCAAATTTTAAAATTTTACCTCTTCTTTCGTACTTTAGATGGTCATTGATGAAGATCACGATGAACAACAACAATCGAATAATAATGGCAACAACAACAACAATGCAAACTTTTACCATCAACAACAACAGCAGCAGCAACAACATGAGCCACAAAATTCCACAAATTCCTCGTCGGTTGATCTCAAGTGTCGTGAACGTGTTACCGATTCCGATGTCGAAGATACTGGTCATGATTATCGTAAAAATCTCACCGCGATTAGTCATGCTGCCAATGATAAGGTACGTAAATTGTTGTGACCCAAAGAATATTTTGATATCTATTCTGATATCATTTTGATTTTGTTTTTTTTTTCTCATTACAGGATGACCAGCAGCAACAACAGGCCACACCGCCGGCTACTTGCAAACCAACACCCTTGAAGGCATTACCACCCAATTTGGAGAACAGTATGATGAAGTTCAAACAAATGGCGATGCTATCATATCCAAGTCCCAAAAATCCAATTGGTGTAACACCTTTCCAACCCACAGGCGAGCAATTTTATCAAACAAAAAAAGAAAATGAATACAAAGGAGCAATATACAAACAACAAGTAATTGTGGTCTATCCAAAAAAAAATTGTTATAAGGCACCGAGATAAAGGGCCTTTTAAAAATCTTTAAAAAAAGTATTTTTGAGGCATTAAGGGTCCTTTGAAGAAATGTTTTTTCCTTGTTGTTTGTTATTGTTTTCTTGGTATTTAATGGTTTTTTTAATTAAATCGAAGATTAATAATTTCTGTTTTCCTTTCTCCTTCCCTCTCTCGGTTTAGGTGGTGCTTTTAAGACTATGCCCATAAGTCCAAAGAGTACAAAACACGATGAACAACAACCACAACAAATTATTATTAAACAAGAAGATCTCATGGATGTACCGCATATTAAACAAGAACCTCCCTCACCCTATAAATTGAATGGTGGCGGCGGAAATCTTGGAACGGCGGGCTCTGGCAATTCGTCTACAAATAGTTCAGCATCAAGTGGTGGTAATATATTTACCTTCAACGTGCCCCAGGCCACACAACAAAACAAAACGTCACAATATGTGGCCGGTGGTCCACCATTGCGTAGTCCTACCGATCCCAGGGCAACATGTGGTAGGTGTTGTTTTTTGTATTTATCAATTTTTTGTTTATTTTTTTCTCATTGAATTCCATTAACCATTTAAATATTAATATCTATGTGTCATCCATCTAACTTGAACTTAACCTCTTTTTCTACTCATTGTTCAATATTGTTTCTTCTTTCGAATTTTTGCATACTTACCACACCCACAACAAAACACCCATCCATCCATCCATCCATCCACCTGTCCATTTTTTTCTATCTTTCTTTGTCTCTGAAATGCTTCATATTTTTGTTGGGTTTTGGTTTACCATGTTGCATATGTGTGTGTGTGTGTGCGTTTGTATGTCTGTGTGCTTCTCTTCTTTTCAAACTAACCTCAAAACCAAAACATCATCCACAAATCATCATTACAACCCATCAGACCCTCAAACGGTCACTGATAATTTGAAGGCCTCTATAAAAATGGATATCCAAGATGATGAGGCCGATGATGGTGTCCTCTATGATGATGAAGACTATGATGATTATGAAACGGAAACCGATTTTGATGATATTGAATTTTATACAATACCCAAGGCCAAAACCCTGTTGATAGCATCATCTTCGCGTACCCCAACACCGACCACCACCACCACCATGCAAACGATGACCACAATGACGACTAGCACTCCGGGTGGAGGAGGAGGCATTACGACAACCACAACAACAACAACGACCAATATTCGTTTACACACCATTACGCCACCAGTTACCGGCCGACAACCTCAGCAGCAGCAGCAACAACATAATTTTGTCCATTTAAGACGTTCAATGACTCCGCAACAACACACCTCCTCGCCTCATCGTCATTTGAAGAATTTACATTTTCGCCGGGTGGAGACACCACCCACAGTTATTACCCGCGTACCCACACCCTATTCCCATGAACATCAGCTGGGCGGCCCGAGCCACCGGCAGAGTATTGTTGTAACTCCCACACCAATTATTAAGGTTGGTGGAGGTGGGGGTGGTGGTCAACATCAACATCAGGCCAAGCAAATAACAATTATCAGGACCCTGACAACACCGCCGCCCTTGTTTTTTCGTACCATACAAAAGACAACAACAACAACACCAAACAAATCAGAAACCATAATCACCAATAAACCCATTCGGGCAATCATATCAAACAAATCTGCCACAGCTTCATCCGCATCCATATCATCATCTGCTTCCACAGTGTCGTCGTCGTTGTCCTCATCCATGTCAACATCATCATCCCCTTCATCATCATCCTTGTCTAATGATTTGAATGACAATACTAAAAACCAATACCCCAATACAATATGCTCCTCCTCTTCCTCCTTGTTGAATAATAACCACAACAACAACAACACCATCACCACTACTTCTACTACCTCTACTGCTTCCCCTTGCAATAACAATAATCCAATAACAACAACAAAAACCATATTGCTACGCAATCCAAATGCTGCCAACAACAACCCCAACAACAATAAAATATCAACAGAACAATTTGCTGCCACCAAGGCAACCGGTCGGGCTGCCATACTCTATGATGCCCTGGTCTTGGATACCCTCAATGATGCAGATATTGGAGATGACAGCACAACGACCTCATCTGTGGTTAAACAAGAAACTGAAGATCTACAACAAAAACATGCCACAGCAACGGGTCCAGCATCAGCTCCACAGACCATGTTGCTGATAACCGATGCCAATAGCTTGAATCGACAGCAACAGCAAAGTATTGCCCAACAATTGTTGCAACATAAAATGCGACAAAATCAACAGCAGCAGCAACAACAAATACCGCTCTTGGGAACAGCCACCCAGGGCGGGGGTGGTGGTGTTGGAAGTTCGACTCCAGGCGGTGGTTCTTCCATGCGACCCTCAATTTCTTTTATTAGCAAAATTACGCTACCGGCAAATGCCAGGATACTGACCACAACCACGGCCAACAATAATGCCGTACAAAAACAACAACAACAGCTTAACACAAATAATGCTGCTGGTGGTGGTGGTAGTAGTACCATAACCATTATTCCAGCCTGTAATCCAACTAACAATAACAACAACATTACTAATAATAATAACAACAACAATGCCACTAAATTAACCACTAACACTATTTTGGTAACGGGCAATAACAATCACAGCTCCTCTATCTCTCAAACTAATACGGCCAACAACAATAACAACAACATTATTGGCTCTACTTCCGCCTCCTCGTCCTCCACTTCATCTGGTGCTGGTATTAACTCGAATTTTTTGTCCAACCACAAAAATACCACCACTCTTTTGGGTAATACAATTGTGACCTCAACGCACTCTTCTACTCCTTCCACTTCAATAAAAACACTAGGTTCCCAGGCGACATCCTTGACGGTGGTCTCATCATCGGCTGCAGCAGCTGCATCGGTGCCTTCATCCCCAGCGGCTGGTGGCGGCGGGCAGGCGGCCAAGCAGCAGATCTTGTTTGCCGTTAACAATGCCATGTCACATCATCAGGTAAGGGTTGGAAAACATTTTTTTTTTTTTTTTCAAAAATTTCTAAAAAACTGAAAAATTAATAAAAATTAAAAAAATTGAAATAATAAAAATTAAATGCAATTTTCTAATATTCTTATAACGCAGTATGCTGCCCTATTACCCTTGCATCAACAACAACAATCTCAACAGCAGCAACAACAACAACAACAGCCGCCACCACCACCAAATACTCTACAAATGCAGTATATCTTCAAAACCCACAATGGTCAAGGTGAACTGGTGCCTACCTCGAATCCGAATGCTTTAATTCTACAACACAACTATAATCAAGGTAACACTCCGTTTGCTCTGCGCATTTAATTAATGTAGAAATGTTATTGACCCCCTTCTCTTTTATAGAAACCCTTCCGATATCACCATCGCACCGAAACTCCCTACCAACAACACCCAAATCGGCAACCGAAACTAGTTTCCAACGTAATCCAGCCGATGGTAGTTTCGATGAGACCGTTGAACAAAAGCAGGATAGCAATGAAATGCAACAGCAATTTATATTGGCACCCACCCCAGCTCAGCTGGGTAAGGCACCATTGCAACGTCGCAAAAATTTGTGTAAGTAGAAAATACCTTTTGGATCTGCTATGAGAAGACCTTTTGGTCTTCTATTAGCAAAAATCATTTTTGGTCTACTAAAAGACCTTCTAGTCCTCTATGAGAAGGCCTCTTGGCCTACCAGAAGACCTACTGGTATTCTTTAAGAAGACCTTTTAATCTTCCATGAGAAGACCTCCTGGTCTGCTTTTAGAAGACATTTTGGTCTGACCTCCAGGTCTTCTATGAGAAGACCTCCAGGTCTTCTATGAGAAGACCTCCAGGTCTTCTATGAGAAGACCTCCAGGTCTTCTATGAGAAGACCTCCTGGTCTTCTATGACAAGACCTATTGGTTTTCTATGAGAAGGCCTTTGGGTCTTCTATGAGAAGACCTTTTGGTCTTCTATGGGACGACCTTTTGATCTTCTATGAGAAGACATTTTGGTCTTCTGTAAGAAGACCGTTTGGCTTTCTATGAGAAGACCTCCTAGTCTTCTATGAGAAGACCTCCTGGTCTTCTATGAGAAGACCTCCTGGTCTTCTATGAGAAGACCTCCTGGTCTTCTATGAGAAGACCTCCTGGTCTTCTATGAGAAGACCTCCTGGTCTTCTATGAGAAGACCTCCTGGTCTTCTATGAGAAGACCTCCTGGTCTTCTATGAGAAGACCTCCTGGTCTTCTATGAGAGGACCTCCTGGTCTTCTATGAGAGGACCTCCTGGTCTTCTATGAGAGGACCTCCTGGTCTTCTATGAGAGGACCTCCTGGTCTTCTATGAGAGGACCTCCTGGTCTTCTATGAGAGGACCTCCTGGTCTTCTATGAGAACACCTCCTGGTCTTCTATGAGAAGATCTCCTGGTCTTCTATGAGAAGACCTCCTGGTCTTCTATGAGAAGACCTCCTGGTCTTCTATGAGAAGACCTCCTGGTCTTCTATGAGAAGACCTCCTGGTCTTCTATGAGAAGACCTCCTGGTCTTCTATGAGAAGACCTCCTGGTCTTCTATGAGAAGACCTCCTGGTCTTCTATGAGAAGACCTCCTGGTCTTCTATGAGAAGACTTCCTGGACTTCTGTAAGAAGACCTCCAGAACTTCTATGAGAATACCTTTGAGTCTTCTATAAAAAAAACCTTTTGGTCTTCTATGAGAAGACCTTTTTTGTCTTCTTTGAGAAGACCTTCTGGTCTCCTATAAGAAGACCTTCTGGTCTTCTATAAGAAGACTTTCTGGTCTTCTATAAGAAGACTTTCTGGTCTTCTATAAGAAGACCTACTGGTCTTCTATAAGAAGACCTACTGGTCTTCTATGAGAAGTCCTTTTGGTCTTCTATGAGAAGTCTTTTTGGTCTTCTATGACAAGACCTCTTGGTCTTCTATGAGAAGACCTCTTGGTCTTCTATGAGAAGACCTTTTGGTCTTCTATGGGAAGACCTTTTGGTCTTCTATGAAAAGACCTTTTTGGTCTTCTATGAGGAGACCTTTTTGGTCTTCTATGAGGAGACCTTTTTGATCTTCTATGAGGAGACCTTTTTGGTCTTCTATGAGAATACCTTTTTGGTCTTCTATGAGTAGTCTATGAGAAGACCTCTTGGTCTTCTATGAGAAGACCTCTTGGTCTTCTATGAGAAGAGTCTTTGGGTCTTCTATTTAAAGACCCTTTGGTCTTTTGTGAGAAGACCTTTTAGTCTTAGACCTTTTGGTTTTCTATAAGAAAATATTCAGATCTTTTATAAGAAGATTATTTGCCCTTCATTTCAGTTGTAAGCAATGTCTATGCTTTTGCTCATATTTGCTTCTTACTTTTTCCTCCCTCTTGCAGCTGTGGGCAGTATGGGCTCCATAAAACAAGAAGGTGGCAATTTTAGCACAGCCACCATTTTGTCAAATTCCAATACAGGCGGCGGCGGCACTGGTGGTGGTAATGTCAACAACAATTTGCATTCACCCACAATGGAGGGATCTTCGCCGATTATAGGACATGTCTCGACGGTGACTATAACATCAGCATTGCCGACACCTACCTCATCGTCTACCACACCGAACAGTGACGAACAATTACCTCTGACGCCGTCATCGAGTAGTGGTGGTGCTGGTAGTGGTAGCAGTGGTTCGACGACGATTAGCACAAACAACTCCTCAATACCTAAATCGCCAAAATCACTGCATGGTCCGAAGAAGAAGCAACACCAGCATATGCATCAGCAGCAGCAACAACAGCAGCAGGATGGCAAATCAAAGTAAGTTTTTATGGCCACATCAATGCCATTGAAATACTAAGAATTTATTTTCCTTGCAGTGCCCTGGCTTCAAGCGTTTTGGCTGATTTTGAAAAGAAATACGAGGCATTGCCACAATTCAAGCCAAAGGATTGTCAATCACCCAGCGCCATTGCAGTGCCATCTTCACCAAGGGTCTATGGTACAAATTATCGTAAAAAGAATGCTACTGCCCCGCCACCAGTACAAAGGATACGTAAGTTTAAGAGATCCATCAAAGAAAAATGGACAAAAACTTATTTCGTTCTTTTGGTTTTCTTTTTTTCCTTAAAGCAGAAAGCGAAGATGAGGCAACCGATGATACGGCTTCAGTACCACCCACACCACAACAGCGTTTCTTTGGTCCAGATTTTAATATTGACACTCTAAGAGGTGGGTTTGAAATTCTTTAATTTTGAGGACTTAAATGCAAAGTTCTTTCTTTCTTTATGTTTATTTTTTTTTCTAGAATTAGAATCATCGGACCAAACGGGACGCTCACCCCGTACACCGCAAACACCACTGCAAAGTGCCCGCTCAGATGCCAGTGAAAAAGGCCACCGTAAACTCTTGGAACAGCGACGTAATTTGGTGTTGCAATTATTTAACGAACATGGATTGTTTCCATCTTCCCAAGCGACAATTGCTTTTCAGGTGAAATTACAGCCACTCTCTGCTCTCTCTGTTCTCTTGGTCCATTTTATATTTATTTTTACTTGGCTTTACATTCCAGAAAAAACACATTGATGTCTTTCCACGTCGTCAAGATCTGCAATTGAAAATCCGTGAAGTGCGTCAGAAACAAATGAATCAGTCCGGCTATACACCGCATTCGGCTGGTCCCATTACACCATCTGAGAATAGTAATCAATCATTGTCATCGGCCATGCTAACAACAGCAACAACAAATTCCAACAGCAACAACACAAATTCAACAAATACATCGGGTAAGTGTGGGATGCTTCCATAAAAATAAGCAATGATAGGATTTTGATGAAGACGGTTTTGGATTCTGGGAAGACCTTGCGGCCTTCTCTTTTGGTGTTCTGTAAAAGAACTTCTGGTCTTCTAAATGAAGACCGGGGTCGTCTATGTGAAGAACTTTTCGTCATCTTCAAGAAGACCTTTTGGTCATCTATGAGAAAACCTTTTGGTCTTCTATGAGAAGACCTTTTGGTCTTCTATGAGAACGCCTTTGAGTTTTGAGAAGACCTTTGGGTCTTCTATGAGAAGACTTTCTAGTCTTCTATGGGGAAACCTTTCTGGCCTTCTATAAGCTGACTTTCTGGTCTTTTATGAGAAGACTTTTTGGTCTTTTATAAGAAGACCCTTTATGAGAAGACCTTTTGGTCTTCTATGAGGAGACCTTTTGGTCTTCTATGACAAGACCTTCTGGTCTTCTATGAGAATACTTTCTGGTCTTCTATAGGAAAATCTTCTGGTCTTCTATGAGAAAACCTTTCTGGTCTTGTATGAGAAGACCTTTTGGTCTTCTATAGGGAGACCTTCTGGTCTTCTATCAGAAAACCTTTCTGGTCTTCTACGAGAAGATCTTTTGGTCTACTACGAATAGACTTTTTGGTCTCATTTGAAAAGACTTAATGGTCTTCTATACGAAGATCTTTTGGTTTCCTATACAAAGACCTTCTGGTCTTCTATGAGAAGACCTTCTAGACTTCTATGAGAAGACCTTTTGGTCTTCTATAGGGAGACCTTCTGGTCTTCTATCAGAAAACCTTTCTGGTCTTCTACGAGAAGATCTTTTGGTCTACTACGAATAGACTTTTTGGTCTCATTTGAAAAGACTTAATGGTCTTCTATACGAAGATCTTTTGGTTTGCTATACAAAGACCTTCTGGTCTTCTATGAGAAGACCTTCTAGACTTCTATGAGAAGACCCTTTGGTCTTCTATGAGAAGACCTTCTGGTCTTCTATGATACGACCTTCTGGTCTTCTATGATACGATTTTCTGGTCTTCTATGAGAAGACCTTTTGGTCTTCTATGAGAAGATCTTTTGGTCTTCAATACGAAGTCCTTCTGGTATTCTATGAGATGACTTTCTGGTCTTTTATGAGAAGATTTTCTGGTCTTCTATGGGCAAATCTTCTGGTCTCCTATTAGAAGACCTTCTGGCCTTCTATGAGAAAATCTTCTAATCTTCTCTGAGAAGATCTTTTGGTCATATATTCTTGTGACCTTTTTGCTATCCCTTTAAACTGAAATTAAGGAAATTGTGTAAAAATACAACCTATTTCAATATTAATTTTGTTTTCACTTTTACTTTTTTTCCAGGAATGAACCTGCAACAAACCATAGAACAGCAACAGCAACAACAATCCCAACAAAGTTAACTTTAAGTTAATGCAACCTTTGTTGGAATGATGTATATTTCTACAATACAGAAGAAAAAAAATAATACTTTTTTACAAAATTGACAAAATATCGCACAGATACACAACTCTTTTACACAATAATTACAACAACAGCAGCAACACATACACACACAGATAACTTGAAAAAAAACAAACAAACAACAAAAAGCATGCATTAAATGCATGTAAAAAAATTTACAATAACCGCGAGTGTTGTAGGTTAATGAAAACAAAAAGGATTTAGAATCTTTAAGCTCTCCCCAAACCTACACATAACCCCCCAAATACACACACACACACACACAAACATAGAATTATGCATACAAAAATCCATTAATTATATTAAACATAGGTCCTTCCCCCCTCTAAACGAAAATAATGAAAAAAGAAGAACGTATTATTAATAAAACAAAAAGAAAAAATGAACAAATGTTAAAAACGCTATAAAAAACAAAAAAGAGAATAACATTTATGTATACCAACATATAAACGATTCATTGCAAAACAAGTCATTTAGTAGATTGGCATAATGAAAACCACCATCGCCCCTCCTCCCCCTTTCCCTCAAAATAACAATAACAAGAAGAAGTGAAGAGGAAACAAAGAAGCAAACAATGATATGTTGTTGTCGATAAAGAGCAACAAATTTAAAACGTACATTATTAGGTTATAAACAATAACAAAAAACAAATATTACGTTTATATTTGCAAGAAAAACGAATGATATCACAATGAAGATAGTGTTTGGAAAAAAAGAGAAGGAAGAAGAAGAAGCAGATAATCTTAGTAATAATATACACACAAAAAGGAAATAACAATTAAAGTCATATTAGATTGTAAAAAACACAAAACAGAACATATATAAATACTTTTATACAAACATCTCTACACCTACACCTACACAACAAAACACCAACTCACTCCACTCCCAAAACAAATTGTATTCATATTTCTAAAATGTATGTTATTTCTATATTTTTTTTATTTTCACTTTAATTTTTTTTTTTATTTATTTCCTTTTTTATTAGAATTTTGATTTCGATTTTCAACTTTTTTTAAAAAAAAGAACACCCTCACAAATGTAATGATGTATTCAAAACACACACACAAACACACGATACTGTCTGGTTATAGAATTGTTATAGTCAGTAAATGGATTGATTAGGGACCAATGACCATCGATTATTGAGTTGTGATCAAAAACCATTGATTTGTGATCAGAAAACATTGATTTTTGATCAGAAATCAATGATTTGAAAATCATAGATACTCAGTGGTCATCAATGATTGAAAAGTCATAAATCAATGATTAAAAAGTCATAAATCAATAATCAGAAATCATAGACCGATGATCACAAATTATTGGCCAATAATTTTTCAATGCAGAAATGATTGATTTGTGATCAAAAATTATTTATTTTATTTGTGACATAGATAGTCAGTTACCATCAATGATCGGAAATTATTGATCGATTATCCAAAATCATTAATCAATGATTAGAAATTGTGATCAAAAATCATTGATTTGTCATCAAAAATCATTGATTTGTTATCAAAAATCATTTATTGGTGATTAAAAATCATAGATACTCAGTGGCCATCAATGATCGATGATTGAATATTCATAAATCAATGATTAAAAAGTCATAAAACAATGATCGGAAATCATAGACCGATGATCACAAATTATTGGCCAATAATTTTTCAATGCAGAAATGATTGATTTGTGATAAAAAATTATTTATTTTATTTGTGACATAGATAGTCAGTTATCATCAATGATCGGAAATTATTGATCGATCATAAAATCAGTGATCAGAAATCATAGAACGATGATTGCAAATTATTGGCCAATAATTTTTTTAATCCAGAAGTCATTGATTTATGAACAGAAATCATTGATTCAATTTGTGACCTAAAATTTCGGTGATCATCAATGATCGGAAATTATTAATCGATGATCCAAAATCATGAATCAATGATAAGAAATTGCCCAAATTTTCCAATCATTGATTGATGATAAAAAAATTTTGATCGATGATCAAGAAAAAGTTTTAGTTCCATCGTAAAGAAATTATGGATCCGTCATCACAAATCATTGGTCAGTGATAAAAAAATCATTCATCGCGATCAAAATGTATGATTGGTGGTCAAAAGTCATTGATCGATGATCACCAACCATAATATTTGATTATCGATCGATAGTCAAGTCATAGATAAAAAAAATTTTTTTGATCCATGATTAAGTATCACAAATCGATCATAAAAATGTTTTGTTCCATCATAAAAAGAAATATTGATCCGTCATCACAAATCATCGATCATTGATAAAAAAAAATCATTTGTCACCATCAAAATTTATGATTGGTGGTCAAAAATCATTGATCGATGATCACAAACCATAATATTTGATTGATGATCAAAAGTCATTGATCGATAGTCAAGTCATAGATCAATGATCAAAACTCATTCATCGTGGTCAAAAGTTTTTAATCAAATTTATTTAACCAAATTAATTAATGATCAAAAATCATTGATCAATGGTTATTGATCCTTAATCAAAAATCATTGATCGATAACCAAAAAGCATGGCCCTTTTTTCCAAATCAGCGAACAATGACTACGAGTCATTAGTCAAAGATCACAAGTCATTAGCAAATTATCATAATAATTGACCAGTCAATCAATAGCTTTTGATTCATGGTCAAAATAATTGATCAGTTATCAAAAGTCATTGATCGTTGATGAATAATCAATCATTAATTGATAACTAAAAATCATTTGTCGATTATTAAAATCATTTATTGATTGTTCATTCACTCAATAATCAAAACAATTGATCTATGATCAATGGTTTTTGATCCTTGATCTGAATTAGTATCATTGATCAAATATAAAAAATCATTAGTCGATTATTCCAAACCAACGATCAATGATCACGAGTCATTAGTCAATGATCAAAATAATTTATCTATGATTAATAACTTCTAATTCATGATCAAAATCGTCAAACAAAAAAAAATTCAGGGCTCAAAAGTCATTGAGCGATGATCAATAATCAATGATCGATAAGCAAAAATCATTTGCGATTTAAAATCGATTTAAAATCATCAATCAATGATTTAAAATCATCAATCAATGATCACGAGTCATTAGTCAAAAATCAAACAATTGACTTATGATCAATGATTTTGGATCTATGATCAAAAGCATGCAAACTAGGTTAATATCATTGATCAAAGATAAAAAAAATCATTGGTCGATTATTCCAAACCAACGATCAATGATCACGAGTCATTAGTCAATGATCAAAACAAATTAACCTGCGATCAATAACTTCTGATTCATGATCAAAATCATCAAACGATTATCAAAATTCACTGATTGGAGATCAAAAATTGGTCGATCATAGAAAAATATTGAACAAGGATCAAAAATTAATCGTTCATAGAAAAATATTAATATAAAATATTGATCATTGATCGAAAGTCAACAATCTTTGGTCGAGTATTAGAATCATGGAGTAATGACCAAAAATCATTGGTCGATTATCCCACATCATCGATTAATAATCACGGGTCATTTGATCGAAATAATTGACTTATGACCAAAAGTTTTTCATCCATGATCAAAATCATTCTGTAATCTTTGGTCAAAAATTATTGATCGATCATAAAAAAAAATGTTGATCAAGGAACAAAAATCATGACCAATGATCAATAGCTTTTGATCCAGTATCAGAATCATCTGATAAAAGATTAATAATTAATGATCGATCAATGATCACGAGTCATTGATCAATGATCTAAGTAATTGACCTATGATCATCGGATGGATGATATTGATCATGAACCAAAATCATTGGTCGAGTATTAAAATCATTAAGCAATGATCCAAAATCATTGGTTCCTTATGACAAATCATCGATCAATGATCACCAGTCATTGGTCAATGATCAAAATATTTTACCAATGATCATAGCTTTTGATCCATGATCAAATTATTGGAGATTAAAAATTTTTGATCGATCATAAAAAAAATATGATCAAGGATCAAAAATCATTTATCAGTAATCATTGATCGAAAGGCAAAAAATCATTTGTCGATTATTAAAAATTATTGAAAAATGAAAAGAAATCATTGGTCGATCATTCCAAATCATCGATCAATGATCACAAGTCATTGGTTAATGATCAAAAGTTATTGATCCATGATCAAAATTATTGATTTTTAGACGATTATCCCAAATCAAAGATCAAAAATCGAGTCATTGGTCAATGATAAAAACTCTCCAATCTATAGGTTTTGATCGATGGTCGAAATCATCTAGCTATGATCGAATACCATTGATTGACAATTAAACAAATGTCCCTTCATTCGTGTGTGTGTTTGTGTGCGTGTTATAAAGCAAACTATAATTCTTACAAGATTTGATTTGCTCCGACCAACCGGGTTATTTCATACATATATTTTCCTTTTATTTTTCAAATTTTCTTTCAAATTTTCCTCTCTGTTGTAGTGGTAACAAAAAGAGTAATGCAAGTTTTCCTCCTTCTTTTTTTTAGTTATTTTTTTTTAAATCTTTATTTTTTTTAATTTCGAGACGATCTCAAATCCTCGAGTAGTAGTGGCAGACTGGGTCTCCTATTTATTTTTTTAAATAAGCTAAATAAATATGAAGTTATATTATTATGATTACAATTATTATTATTACTATATAAAAAAGAAAAAATTACTATTATTGTTTATGAATTTTTTATGAATTTTCTATTTTTTATTAGCTTTTAAGTTAATTTTAATTTGTTTTATTTTTTTATTATTAATATTTTAGAAAGAAAAGAAAAAAATTTTAACATTTTAACTTTTTGTAGAACTCTCCCCCCACTTCCCCTTACCACCTACGTTTTTAAAAAACGTTTTTAAACAATTTTTTTTAAATATATTTTAAAGTTTTTAAATTTGATTTTACCGATGTTAACCCCCCAAAACTAAGTTTTTAATCTGTTTTTTTTTTTTAATTTAAATTTTGTTTTTAACTTTTTTTTTTTTGTAAATTATCCAACCCCCTCTTCTTTTTCCAAATTTAATGTAAAGTAGCATTTGATAAATCACAATGATAATGATGATGATAAGAAGAAAAGTAAATAATAAAAAAAACAACAGAAGAACACACAAACACAGTTTTTAAAATTTTATGAAAATAAAAAAAAAAAACACTAACCTCCTAAATCCCATTAAAAAAACGTTTTGCAGTTTATAGTGGAAACTAACAACAACAACAATAAAAAAATAAATTTATTAATTTCTTTTAACCATTACTGATTTATTAATAATGTATTGTGTAATGCTTTAAACATGAAAAATAGAAATAATAATCTTAAAATTATTATTTTATTTTTTTAAAACAAAAAAAATTGTCCTGTCTTCCACTTGTGCTGCAATATTATTAACAAAACGAAACGAAACAAAAAAACGAAGAAAAAAATCTAATTTTTTTGCTCCTCTGTTTTTTTTTAAGATTAGATACGGATACATAAAATTAGTTTTAATATTTGATCATCAAAAACACACAAGAATTTTTTTGTATTCTTAGTTTAATGTATTTTTATTTAATTAGTAGTTATTCTCTATTTTTTTTAAAGAAAATTTGAAACAACAAACAGTTTTAAAAAATGAAAACAATAGTAGACCATCATTATTAAGAAACGAAGAAAAAAAACAACAAATGATTAAATTTTATAAGAAAAACAACTTAGTATGAGCATGGTTTTTAAATTTGTTATAAATTTTTGTTAAATTTTAATTATCGAGATATCGTAATAATATCTACCAACCAAGCGATCGATCATCCGCCTAAATATATACATACACATATATATATTTTTCTATTAAGTTTTGCACGTTCTTGAAGACTTTTTTAAATAAAAACAAACAAATAAATAAATAAATCTATATTCTATATACATACAACCGTACATACATATTAATACAATTAAATTAGTGATTTTCAATTATTAAAAAATATATATATAAAAAAGAAAAAAATTGTCTGAATTCTTTTTATTTCAATCGATTTTGTTTTTATTATTTTCTTTTGTTTTAGAAACAAATTTTCAAATTAGTGAAGATATTCGCTTCGTTTTTTTGGTTTCAAAAAGCTACTTGGAATAAAAACAACCAATTTTCAGATGCTTTGTTGGCTGAGGACAACAGAATATCGATAATGACTGTTTCTAGAGTACCAAGGAGTCTATTAAAATCAATTTTAGTTACAAATCGACATTAGTCCACCATGTCCTCTAATCAATAATCATTGATTTGGATGTCAAAAGAGCTTCTGATATATGGGAATATGTTACGGAGTGCATATTACGGCTGTGGGGAACAAATATAACAAATCGGATGAACAATATATATGGGGGCTATATCTATATCTGAACCAAATTTGACATATTAGCTTCTAGACTCAATTCGATTGTATGTGTCAAATTCCAATCCCATTTGGACTAATATTACACGTTTGGTGCGCAATAAAAGGCAAATCGGACGAAGTTATATGTGGGAGCTATCTCCAAATCCGACCCGATCTATATAAAATTTAGTAAAGGTATTTCTGAGTTGCATTTGATATATTTCCCCAAATATTGTTGTTACAGAGTGCATATTACGGCTGCGGAGGACAAAAAATAACAAATCGGATGAAAAATATATATACTGGAGCTATAGCTATATCTGAACTGATATCGATCAAATTGGTCAAACTTATTTTCAGGCCCAATTTGGTCGTATATGCAAAATTCCATACTATTTGGGGCGGATGTTACACGTTTGCTTCACAAAAAAAGGCATATTGTCGATAACAACATTTTCCATAGAAAACATTGTCGATAACAACAGTTCCCATAGAAAATATGGTCGATAACAGGATTTTCTATAGAAAATATTGTAGATAACAGGATTTTCCATAGAAAATATTGTCGATAACAGGTTTTTCCATAGAAAATATTGTCGATAACAGGATTATCCATAGAAAATATTGTCGATAACAGGATTTTCTATAGAAAATATCGTCGATAACAGGATTTTCTATAGAAAATATTGTCGATAACAGGATTTTCTATAGAAAATATTGTCGATAACAGGATTTTCTTTAGAAAATATTGTCGATAACAGGATTTTCTATAGAAAATATTGTCGATAACAGGATTTTTTACAGAAAATATAGTCGATAATAGGATTTTCTATAGAAAATATTGTCGATAATAGGATTTTCTATAGAAAATATTGTCGATAACAGGATTTTCTATAGAAAATATTGTCGATAACAGGATTTTCTATAGAAAATATTGTCGATAATAGGATTTTCTTTAGAAAATATTGTCGATAATAGGATTTTCTTTAGAAAATATTGTCGATAACAGGATTTTCTATAGAAAATATTGTCGATAACAGGATTTTCCATAGAAAATATTGTCGATAACAGGATTTTCCATAGAAAATATTGTCGATAGCAAGGTTTTCTATAGAAAATATTGTCGATAGCAAGGTTTTCTTTTGAAATTTTTATCAATAGCAGGATTTTCCATACAAAATATTGTCGATAAAAAGATTCTCTATAGAAAATTTTGTCGATAACAGGATTTTCTATAGAAAATATTGTCGATAGCAGGAATTTCTATAGAAAATATTGTCGATAACAGGATTTTCAATAGAAAATATTGTCGATAACAAGATTTTATATAGAAAATATCGTCGATAACAGGGGTTTCTATAGAAAATATTGTCAATAACAGGATTTTCTACAGAAAAAATTCTCGATAACAGAATTTTCTATAGAAAATAATGCCGATAACATGATTTTTTACATAAAATGCAGTTGATAACAACATTTTCCTTAGAACATATCGATTTCCTACAGAAAATAACATGATTTTCTATAGAAAGTATTGTCGATAACAGGATTATCTATAGAAAATATTCTCGATAACAGGATTTTCTATAGAAAACATTGTCGATAACAAGATTTTCTAAAGAAAATATTGTCGATAACCATAGAAAATATGGTAGATAACAAGATTTTCTATAGAAAATATTGTCGATAACAGGTTTTTCTATAGAATAACAGGATTTTTATAGAAAACTAGCTGCACCCGGTGCGCTTCGCTACCCCTTTTGATTTTATATGCATTCAAAATTTTATTTACGAATATATGTTGGTTAAAAAAAAAACAAATTTAAAAATTAAAAAAAAAAATTGTTGCACTACTTTAATGCGTAAATGACCAAAATGACATACATACACGAAGGGTTTTTCCTTCGGATTTATTTATTTCATAGCAAATACCAAGTGTGCAGGAAACTGCAATTTTTTTAAGTGGAGTGGTTTTTCTATCGCAATTAGTGAAATCGAGATTGCAACATACTTCGCCGTAATAAGCGTATTTCAAATAAATTGTTGTGTTGTTTTTTAGTGTTAGCTAAGGCGTTGTGGGTCAATGGTTCTTATTAAAATCATATCCCAATCTGATCCGATTTAAATACAATTTTAAAAAAATTACTTTTACACAAAACTCCGCCACACCTTTCATAATTCATTGAAATTGGTGCGTCAAATATGTGAAATCGGCCGAGAATATATATATGGGAGCTATATCCAAATCTTAACTAATTTCCAATTAATTTATCACATTTATTATTATAACCACATTCCACCACACATTCTGAATTTCATTGGAATCGGTCATATATATCGTGTTTGGTGCATAATATGTATGAAATCGGCCGAAATATATATGTTAGCTATATCCAAACCTCAACTGATTTCAATATAATTTGGCAATTTTTGCTGGTGCCAGATTTTGTCTCTCTCGCTTTGGGTGCATCAAATATGTGAAATCGGCTGAGTATATATTTGGGAGCTATAATCACATCTGAGCGTATTTGAATATAATTTGTCAAATTTATTTTTGTACCAAATTTAGCCACTCATGCCGAATTTCGTTGGAATCGGAAATACGTATCGTGTTTTGAGCAGCAAATATGTGAAATCGGCGGAAAATATATATGGGAGCTATATCCAAATCTGAACCGATTTCAATTTAATTTGACAAATTCATTTTGGCTCCCAATTCCGTTACTTATTTTAAATTTCATTACAATTGGAAATACATGTCGTGTTTGGTCCACCAAATACATGAAATCGGTCGAAAATGTATATGGGAGCTATATCCAAATCTGAACCGATTTCAATATAATTTGGGAAATCAATTTTTTAGATAAAATCTATCACACGTTTCAAATTTCATTGAAATTGGGGATACATAGCGTGTTTGGTGCATCAAATGCTTGAAATCGGCCGAAAATATATATGGGAGCTATATACAAATCTGAACCGATTTCAATATAATTTGACAAATTTATTTTCGGATTAAATCCCGTCACACATTCCAAATTTCATTGGAATCGAACATTCATATTGTGTTTGAGGCATCAAATGAACGAAATCGGTCGAAAATATATAAGGGAGCTATATCCAAATCTGAACCGATTACAATATAATTTGGCAAACTTATTTTTGTTCCAAATTCCGTTACGTATTCCAAATTTGGAGACTGTATCTTCAACCAATCAATAGATATGTGCATATAAAATCTATATTTTTGGGAGGTACCTCCGATTCTGATGCTATATCTCCAGTTCCAAGTGGAAATTCAAAAATGTATATAGCCTATGTTACTTTCAGGCGATGTTGCAGTATATATGGAAATTTTCAGGAAAATCTATTCAGCGGTTTTCGAGTCCATAAATTACAAACAAACAAACAAACAAACAAACAAACATACAAACATTTTCCTTTTTTATATTTTTATAGAAAATATTGTCAATAACAAGATTTTCCACAGAAAATATTGTCGATAACAAGATTTTCCACAGAAAATATTGTCGATAACAAAATTTTCCATAGAAAATATTGTCGATAACAGGTTTTTCTATAGAATAACAGGATTTTCTATAGAAAATATTCTATTAGGTTGCATTAGCTTACGAGTTGATTGTGTGAAAAGTTAAACATTTTAAATCTATTTTTTTTATTATTTTTTTTTTAATTTTTTGTTACATCAATTTCATCTAGAACTTTATTTTTTACAACTTTCCACTTGTCATATGTTGGCTGCCAATATATATTTCTTCAATGTTGGCAATGACATGCTGTAAAGGTTTTGTTGATGATGCCCCATGTTGGTCGCCATATTATTAAGATTTTTTTTATTTTAGCAAAGATATGTTGGGATTTTTTCAATATCTTCCAGGATTTGTTACATTTTAGGGGTTATTTTAAGTTTTTTTATACACCAGACATTTATAAACCTTCTCCTCCGCATCCAAAAATCCCCCACGCTTATGAATAAATACACACCTTTCTCACTGACTCTATCTCTCTCTCGTTTATAATTTTCAAACAAATCGAACTATGTGCCAATCATTTTAATCATATTAAAATAGCAACAAGAACAACACAAACAAACAAATTTACAATTAAAAATATTATAATAATATAAATTATATATATAGAAATAATTGAAAAATATTATTAAAAAAAATAATGATTAACAAAAAAATTTATATTTTTAACAAAAAAAAAAACTCTTTAGAAAATACACAACAAACACAAAATCTCATCGTTTCGGCATAGTGAAAATTTTTAAAACAAATTTTTGGCAA